GCTTTTTTAGTTTAGGCTGTACATCAAGCGTCCGGATTTACTCGCTGTTCAGGGTTACCCAACGTTCCCCTTATTGAACTTTGATAAAATTAATTTTGAAAACAAGTTGTCCACAAATTTGTTGATAAAATAATGAACATAGATGATGATGATAAAAAGATTGACAATAAAAGAAATTTTTCTTTTAGAAATAGTTGATGAAACAGCAGATGTTTTAGGATCTGAACAGTAATCACAAAACAATTATTTCATTTTTTCGTGAAAGTTCAGAACGGAGATCTTCTGTCACAAATATTCCTCTTTTGTGTAAAATAAGAAGGAAAAACAAGTATAAAAGTACTCAAGTTTTTTGGTTGTAAATTTAAAGATATTTATTTTAATTTGAAAAATTTTCATTGTATGCAAATGGAATTATACGACAAATACACATGAGCTTTGTTGTTCATCTAAGTCCAGCTCATATTGTTTTGCAGTACTCAGCAATACTTAAACCAGTTAGTCAGGCTTTTCAAACTGATTAAGTTGATCTTTCAGAATTCAAATAGCAAGTTCAAAAATTGCACAGCGTATTAAAACTTTAAAGAACTAAGTCTGGTAATTATTTCAGGGATATTTTTGTGAAAAAATCACTCGCGCACAAGCTTATAATGAACTGATAATTTTGATAAAAAATATGTTGTTTTTTAATGCCATTAATTCATATTTAAAAATTGGTGTAATAAAACTTTTGTAAGTTTTGTAAAAATGTTAAGGCAAATTAATTATTTTCGAATCTTTACATTCTAACAAATTAGTTGGCTCTATAAAGCTAAAGTTGTCTTAATTCTAAAATTCTAAATTCTGAAAATTTTTAAAAATTAAAAAAACTTTAAACTCTAAAAAGTTATCTTAATTCTATTTTAGATTTGAATCTTTTCCTAATTTGAGATAAAAGCGAATCAAAAGTTTTTTTATTAATGCTTTCAATAAAATAATGTTTATGACTTTTGTTAAAATTTTCTTTAAAATGCGGTTGATTATAAAATTTAATACAAATTGGTGTTTGTTTAGATTTACAGGGTTATGCAAAGTTATATAGTGCTTTATGCAAAATTATAAATTGTTTTATGCAAAATTATAAAGTGCTTTATGCAAAATTATAAAGTGCTTTATGCAAAATTATAAAGTGCTTTATGCAAAATTATAAATTGCTTTATGCAAAATTATAAATTGCTTTATGCAAAATTATAAAGTGCAAAATTTCGAATCGTTTAATAAATCCATTTAAAGCATAAAAAAGTTTGAATATATGATTTATTTATATATAAGCTCATGTCATTTAACATTTAGACTTCAAAAAAATTATATTAATTTAAGCAACTACTTTATTCAAAAATCATGTTTTGTTTAGCTTTTTCCAACCGTCGTTCCATTGATCTCCAAAATCCACTTAATTCTTCGTTAATTTCACGCATTCGATTAAAAATTATTTCCAATGCATCTCTAATAATAATTTCATCATTTAAAGCTTTTATTCCACGATATCTTGCCTTTATCATGCTAAAAAACTCCTCAATGGGATTTAATTGAGGAGACCATGCCGGTAAATACTCTCTATTTATTCTTAATTCATTTAAAACTTCTATAATACTTCTTGATTTGTTAAAATGGAACATTATCCATTATCAGTATATGGTCTGGGTTTTGTCGGAAATAATTACACAGGTTATTTCTTATAAATCTTTCAAAGCATTCAGCATTATAAGCTCCAGTTCTTAATTCATAAGCAACCACACCAGAAATATTTATTGCACACTTCAAACTTCGATTTGTATTTCTGTTTCCGGAAACAATGGAATATGCCTTTTCATTTTTTTGGGAATACCCATATCGTCTTCTCAAATGCTGATTAAATCCTGATTCGTCTAAAAAGACCAATTTATCACTAGAAATACGCGAGATACGGCGGGCATATATGGCCCTTTTTTTCAATATTTGCTAGGGAATTTCGTTCTTCGGGAACCAATGTAAGCCTTTTTCGCGTTAAATTTTTTTTTCCCCAATTTCCTTGATACTGTTAATTGAGATATTACCATACCGGTTTCTGCATTAACTTCATTTACCATTTCATTTTGTGTCAGATCTTTATTTATAGCTATCGTATTAAATAAAGTATTTTTGATATCACTGAACAACAAATTTTTGTTTTTGATTGTTTGCTTGTGGCGTTCTCTCTTAGTAGCAAATTTGATGCCTTCTTGATGATTTCTTATACAGTTTCTTACAGCACTTTGGCTAATGTTTAAAGTTTCGGCAATGTATTTGGTTAAATGATTATTTATCGAACTAGACATGTTTATAATTGTTTCATGAATTTCCTTAGTTATCGTTATTCAAATTTTTTTTGCCATGTAAGGTTTTGAATTTTTATTTTTTAGCATTAATTTAAAAAACTTGCATTAATTAGATAAAAACGTTACTGATTTGGTTAATGTTTTTCAGCCAGTTAGTCATTTAATTTTTAATTACAATTTAATATTGTATTTTAACTCCTATGCATTCTTAGATGATTCTGAAAATGACCTGTACTATTATAATGGCATTTATTTATTGTTAAATAAAGCACTTTATAATTTTGCATAAAGCACTTTATAATTTTGCATAAAGCACTTTATAATTTTGCAGAAAGGAATTTATAATTTTGCATAAAGCACTTTATAATTTTGCATAACCCTGTAAGATCAGTTGTAATTCCATACACTTCCGCCATTTAATTTGCGTCACTCAAACGAATCGTAATTATTTTAAAGTATTTTAAGTGTGTCCATGCATTTTTTCAACAAAGAAATGGCTTCCATTAAATTTGTATTCTTTTTTTGAAGAAGTAAGCCTATTGCGTTAAAATCATTTAATATTTGACTTACAAATTGTAAAATATATTTCTTGCAAAAAAAGTTCACATTTCTGGAATATGTTTTATAATGTAATTTATCACTAAATTTAAATTATGAGCTTTAAAATGAACGTAGTCTGAATTTGGTTCTTTTATTTTATTTTGAATACCATCGTGTATTCCTGACATAACATTGGCGCCCTCATAACCTTGTCCAATCAGTTTAACAAAAGAAATATGTCTTTATTCTGTAGATTGTATTACAACAATTTTAATACCTGTAGCACCTCGGGAGGTTACTTTTTAAAATTCTGAAAATGATTCTTTTATATTTACTTGAGATGGAACTCCACTGTCTTCATATTTAATTTCAACACATCTGTAAACTTCATTTAACATATCCTTCTTTGTTGAATCAATCGTTGTGCCTGCCATGATAGAAAATAATGGGACAGATTTTATCTTTTCTGTTATTTCGTCTTTTACCATACTTTGAAGGCATTCGATTATTTTATTTTAATTTCTCATTTTGGTTTATTTAAGAAATGTTGCATAAAGAGATCATATTCTCTTAGAAAAAAAGCAATTTTTCTAAATTTTCCGTTATATGATTTTAGTTCTAGCTAAGGTTAGGGTTATCCGAAACAATCAATGCAGAGCTTTTAACCATTTTTTTTTTTTTTTACGAGGTTTTCAGCTGCCATGTCAATACTTGCATTATTTTTACAAATTTTATATGTCAAATAGGCTGATAAATGTTTAGATAATGATTCATGTTTTTTCAATTTTTGTAGATAACTTTTTCCAGTCTCTAATACCAATTTAACACTTCTCTAACACCAATTTTTATTATTTTGCTCTCCCATTGAGCACGCGTCGTCCAGGGGACGTCCGTCGGACGTCATACGGGCTTCCAGACGTCCCCCGGACGACGCTTGCCCACTGGGCTTGTATTAAAAACATCCCACAAGGTTTACAATAAACAGAATCTAATTTTATTGAATAGCTAAGCCAAGCTTTAATAGATTTTCCTACTGCGGATTGTCTAAATAATCGAGGAAATTATTTCGGATAATTTTGACTTTGATCACGTAGAAAATCAAAATTTTTTGGATGCTTGGGACAATATTTGGCAATTGCAGTCATTTATTTTTATTACTTAAACATCTTTTACAATATTTAATGCACAAGAATGCATTGTGCTTTCGCTATCTTCAATATCTTCAATAATAATTCGCTATCTTTCGCTATCTTCAATGCATTGTGCTTTTCGCTATCTTCGCTTGTCTCTATACCTATGGCACAGTAATTATCATTGTTATGAATATTTATTTCTTTATTTAATGAAGATGTGGATAGTTTTTCATCAGTTGTTACTTCACTGTTATTAATTGAAGATTTATTTTCTGTTTGAAAAAAATGCATCAATTTTTGCATATTTTTTAATTTAATCTTGCTTTCCTTTGGCCCTTTTTCTTTGTGGAACTCAAGTTTCAAATTTTCTTTTTGTAAAGATTTTGCAGTTTTGCTCAAGATATCTGTAATACAAATATTAGAATGTTTTAACTTGTTCTCAGTGTTTTAGTGCAACAAAAAATGTGTTTAATAAGAAAAAAAAAATTTATTAATGTTTAATTAAATAAATAAAATTAATATTGTTTGTAAGGTAAATAATTGATAAATACTGTAAATATAAACTCTGTAGAAATATTTTATCAAATATTCAGTTCAATAGGTACCTTTCTACTAAAAGAAAATAAAAAGAGCAGAGCAGCTAAACTTTAAATTTTTAAATAAATTCAGAGACACTTATATTTGTACAGCTACATGTTTGTTAGAGCACTGAATACCCTGAAGCGAAACTCTACGATGGCGCGAACAGCTCATGTAAGAATACAAAAACTGTCGCAAAATTATTTCGTTTTTAAAACGAGGAATTTGAAAGCTCTTATATTGGATTGAGGCCAAGGCCCCTTGAATGTTGTGCCCCCAGGGCAGTGCTTTACCCTGCCTTCCCATAATTACGTCTCTGTATATGCCATAATTACGTCTCTGTATATGTATAAGTTATGAATGTTTAAAGTAAAGTTTTAGTAGTTTACGGTACGTAATGTATTAGATTTTTTACTTAATATTCACGCATGCGTCAATGCTGAAACACGAGATCTGTATTCAAAAGCAATCTTACATAAAAAATGGGTGACGAAGAAAGCCTTCTGTTAAGGTATCCACCTCCACCTGCAAAAGGATATAGGCCAAGATGTTTCTTTGATATTCAAATAAACAAAGTGTCAGGTTAATTTAGTTTTCTGTATTTGTTTAGCTAATAATTTAGTATTTAACATTTTCATAACAATTTGTTATATTAGAATATATATTTTTATTAATTTTGTATATAATTATATTTGTTATATTATTGTTATATTAGTCTCTTTATGCCAAAGAGAGTTTATCAACAAACAGCGTCATCAATGACTTAAAAAAAAAGTTTTTAATAGTTTAATATCGTTTTATTTAAAACCGAATATATTTATTTTTTATCTATAAAATATATTATTTTAGCATGTAATAAATATTGAGATATTAAAAGGAATCTTTTATGTTGTTTTTTTTTGTTTTTTTTTTGTTTTTTTAATTGTTTTTAGTTAAGTACTCTAAGAAGACCTTGCGATCTTGTTCATATTTTCCTTTAAATTGACCATTGTTTTTAACTCCTTCCACTCTAGATTTTTTTAAATTTTTTCACATCAAAAAAATTTTAACAAACTAATTAATGATATCAATAAAATCTGGACTAACTGCTAAATATCTATTTTTCAAAATGTATAATTTTTATTCTTTTAAAGTTTTAATAAAGTCAGTTATGGTAGTAGTCAAAATATGTCATTTACTTGTGTTGATTTTTAATAAAAAAAAAAAAAAATTAGATTGAGACTACACTAGTCTCAATCTAATTTTTTTTTTTTTTTTATAAACCATATTTAAATTTAGAGTTTGTACTGTCTGAAAGCCTCATATCTTTAACATAAAAAAATTCTGCCTTTGCTACTGCTAGTAACAATTATTTGTCACATTCTTTTAACTTCTAACATTTATTTCTAACATTAAAAAAAGTTTATTATATTTGAGTTAATGAAAAACCTATGCAAAGTTTAAAAAAAAAAAGAGAGAATTAATAACGATAATGTAAGATAATAAAGATAAAATAAGAGAGTTCTTACATAAATAAGAATTAAGAAAGTTCTTACATAAATAAGAATTGAGAGAGTTCTTACATAAACGAGAATTAAAAGAGTTTTTACATTAAATCACTTTATAGTTAGTTTAATATCAGTTTATTAAGTATAGTAATAGTAAGTAATAATTTTATTTTGTAAGCCAATATAAATAATTTTTATAGACTTATTGACTGTGATTTTTTTGTGATTAAGATTAGTTACTATTTAATTTTTAATTTTTACTGAGAGTTTCAAAAAAAACTATTTTCAGCTGGCAGAATTGTGTTTGAATTGTTTGCAGATATATGTCCAAAAACCTGTGAAAATTTTAGAGCACTTTGTACAGGTACTTTAAATTTGTTTTCATTGTTAATTAAATGATTATTTCTGCAAAAAATTATTTTTATTTGAATTATTAAAGGTGAGAAAGGTGATGGGAAAACTACATTAAAACCCCTTCATTACAAAAATACCATCATTCATAGAGTTGTTAAAGGATTTGTTATTCAAGGAGGAGACTTTAGCTCTGGTAACTTCAATTAGCATGAATTATTTTTGAATGTTATATGTGATATGTTTATACGCTGTAATTTTTTTATATAAAGCTATAGTGCGATCATACTTCATGCAAAGTGTTAGTCGGCCTAATGGCACTGCATATACCACAAAATTCCCAATGGGTTTAAAATTCCTGAAATTCAATGAACTTTTCTTTTTCGTTTTTTTAGTAAAAAGACAATTTTCATAAAAATTAAAATTATAAATTTTAATTTTTGTAAAACAAAAATAAAAAATATTCCCTATATCGCAAAAACCCAGTAAAAGTTATTTACTTGACTAACACTGACATGTTATAAATGTTGATTAATTTAGTTTCATATTTTTCATCGCTTCCATAAATTACATATTCAACAAATAAGTTTCATATTTTGTAACTTTAATTTTATTTAATTAATTTGATTTATTATTTATTGCATTTTAACTATTTTTGCATCTTAAGTAAGCTAAAAAATGTAACAATAATAAGTTTTGAATTTTAATGAAAAAAACTTTAAAAACTTAAAGAGATTCTTATGTAATAAGTATTCTTTGTTCTTAATGAAAGAGGAAAAAAAAAATTTATTACACTGGTTACTTGTTTATTAGTATTAGAACATTGTGACTATTGTTTACTATGATTTTGTTTATTATTTAAAATTAAGTCAAGGTTTAGTTAAGGTTTTTTATGGCCATTTGAAATGGTTTTATAAAATTTTTTTATGTTTTAAAATATTTATATAAATATACATTAGTGTATATATATAAAATATATAATTTGAACTAATGCATATATATTTGCTGTTTGTTTCAAAAACTGCAAATATATATGCATATAGTTTTTGAAAAAATGTCAGCCTCTAAAACAAAAATTTTATTTTTATTTTTTTTTCTTTAATTTTAAAAATCTTTGTTATTTTATTTTTTAATTATTTATACTTTTTAATTTACAGGTAATGGTACTGGTGGAGAATCTATTTATGGTGGAACCTTTAAAGGTTTAATTTTGTGTGTGTGTGTGTGTGCTTATATAGATAGATGGGTTTAGATAAAATAATAATATTATAGCAGGCTTAGACAGGAATGGCGTGCGATCGCACTCTGTAACTGACCACGCTAATAGTTTTTTTTTCTTTACAACTTGACCACGTGTTGTGTTATGAATAACTTTTAATTGTTGATCTTTTCTTAAGTTTTAATTTTACACGAAGGCTTTAAAAAAAAACCATATAATTATTTTTTTGATGATTGTGTACATAAACACGTGTGTAAATTAATAAAAAATGTTATATATAAATTTTTTTTATGTAGGAATATATTTTTTATGATAATACGTTTGAAACTATTTTCCCATGTCTTCTTAAAAATATTTAAAGCATTAATTTTAGAAAGATTTTTTTAAAGTTACTTTAATTTATGAATAAGTTCAAAATCTTTTGCGACAACTAGCTTTTACACATTTACATTTAGCTTTTTTTTTTTTTAACTAGACTTACTAATAAGAGCATAAAATTTTTTAAAATTACTATTTTAACAAGTTCTTTTTTTAAACAATTTTTTTTTTTTTTTTTTTTTTTTTTTTTTTTTGCAACTTTTTTGAAAAAAAGAATGTTTACAATTTAAAAATATTAAATACAACAGTTTTTAATAAATTTGATAAACTTTGTTCATTTATTAAATAATAATTAGTAGTAATTTGTTACTTAATTTTAAAACGTTTTGCGTAACACACATCAAAAAAATAGGTTTTATGTTTTACTCAGAGTTCCCCAAATATTTTTATGGAAATTTTATCAGTGACTCTTTAGGATACTGTATCTAGAAGCTTAAAAATCAAAAGGTAGCCGTTTTTGAAAAAAATGATTTGAAGAAGAAAAAATTCAAAAAAAATCTCTAAATGCAAGGCCAATTGTAAACAAACTTTTTAAGTGTTTAATATACTCTAAACATTGATATGTTTATGTTTAGTTAAATAAAGATACTTTGCAAAAATATGTGTTGATTGGAGCTTGGGAACAAAAAAAACCTGAACGTTAGTCCCCCTGCTCATAACGCAAGCACAGCAAGTTTTTATTTAAAAAAATTTCGCTATTATTAACTCAGTTTTAATTTATCAATAAATTTCAAATTCCATATAATCTTTAAGTGTTCAATTTGAAGGGGCAATAACTTTAATGGGTTATAACAATGGAACACTATGAGATTATTCCATGAAACTTGAAACTTGTTGATGAATTTAAATTGAGTTGATAAAAAAAATTTTTTTAAATACTTGTAGTGTTCGTGTTATGGGCAGGGGCCTAAGATTTAGTAGGTTTTTTGTTGCCAAGCTCTTACCATCACAAATTTCGCAAAGTATCCTTATTTTACTTAAACATGAACATATCAATGTTTGGAGTGTCTACCATTTCTGGAATTTAGTTATCTCAAACACTAAAAAAGTTGTCTTTGGCCTTGAAATGGAGTGGAATTTAAGGGGCGAAAAAAATAACTATTCTTCAAATTTTCTTTTTAAAAAGACGTTTTAATACTTATTATCCTAACTCATATACTTGATTAACTTATAACAAAATGTATATGTTAAAAAAAAACTAAGATTTTTTAATGATAGCTAACAGTTTTAAAAAATATTTGCATTTAATGTTTTAAATTTATAAACATAAATCAAAGTATTTCAATTTTTTAATCTATAAATTAGTACTGCTGAACGATTCAGCAATTCTTCTGCTTCTAAGAGAGTACTTTGAACTTGCTTGTGAAACATTGAATTGATTGATAATCATTATTGAATGAGCTGATTCAGATGCCTGTTCATTGTATCGTCCAAGAGAATGACCAGTAAGTTTAATAAACTGTTGCAAGTAAGCTGCGATTATATGTATTTTTCAGGTCACAGTAAGTTTCTTTCCTAGAAACTAATAAAATATTCTATAAGATAAATAATAATAATATACTAATACAAAGTCAATTTAAAGCAAATTTATTATAATTAACTGTACCTCTGAACAGTACTCTTGTGTGGCAATTGTAGGAACAATCAAAGTCAGCTATTAGTTGAAGATAACCAGGGTTAAGATAACTTCAGAAGGTTCCTTGAACTAATTTCTCAAATTTTCTCATTGGAACTGATAAACGCTCAATTGGTAGCTTAGTGGACACAGTTTTTAAGAATAAGTCTACATGTATTGCCTTCATATGTTCCCCCGTGGTATCCTCTTCTAATACATCCAAGTGAGTCGACCCAGTCTTTGTATTTTCGCCAATAAACAATTATATAAGTTGATACATGATTTACAAATCCCATTAACATATGAAGCTCCGGCTAAGGAATGATTTCAATAACTAGTTTCGAGGGGTTTTTCTCTTTTATTAAGCATACATTCACCACATTCTATCAAAGTTTATTAATTTGATTAACATTTTAAAAAAAAAAATTTTATTAAAAAAAGATTTTAAATTTTTTTAAATTAAATAGTAACTAACATTTACCCCTTAAAATCTTTTATTTCAGAGCTTCGATAACTAGCTTCCATGTATCTCTGATGCCATAGATCCAATAATAAAAATGTTCTTGTCAACCCACAAAAAGTTTTCTTTTTGTGGGTTGACGCCATAGGTAAGTATGCTTGCGCATACTTACCTATAGCGATAAGTATGCGCAAGCATACTTACCGCCATAGGACTAAATTTTCTTATGCTTTTTTAAAATCCTAATTAACTTATTAAAAGTTACATAATAAATTATTTTTAAATCATAACTTACTGAAATTCCTAGAAGAATATTAATTATTTTCAAATCAGCTGCAAGAATATATTTACAATCTTCTAGCTTTAGAAGATCTAATAAAATGTCTAAATTTTTTATTTGTCTCCTGCAAGTTGTCACAATATGCAAGAATTATACGATAGTTAATTCCAGAGTAAGTTCCATGAGAACTTTGATCTTCATATCGTTTTTTTTTTTTTTCTGGATCAAAGAGGTTATAAATTACCTTAAGGACCCACCTCCTACAAAATATAAGTTTTAATTAAAAAAAAAAAAATTAAGTTATATATTATATATAAATTATATATTATCTCTTCATCTAATAATGTTTTTACCTGAATCAATTCCAATTTGTAATAATGTTTGGTAAGGGTTTTGCTTTCTGTATATCATTACAAAGTTTAGCAGCTCGGTTAATTGACAAACTTAAACAAAGTCTCTTGATACATCTGTTGATGCCTTTTTTTTTTTTACATCATATAATTCAGATAGTTTTACATCATATAATTCAGATTTTTTGGTAAAGTTTTTTTCAAGATTTGCCTCAAATTGAATTCCACTTTGTCTTAAGGACTCAGAAGGATGTGTGATTTTAAAGTCCAAGTCGAATAATCATAGTTTCAGTTTCTTCAAACTTGACTTAATAACTAATGGAGGAACACCAATAGTTATTAGGTAATGGCAACCCACCTGAATAATAAAATGTTTTGGATGATTTTATTGATCAATTTGAAAACACTAATAAATCTAATAAACAAATTACCAATATTTAGATGTGATTCCATGCTTAAGTTTCTTTTTCTTAAAGGGACCAACGTCTGAGCAAATTTTTTTTGATTAAAACTAATTAATTAATGTATATCAAGAAAAACAAATCTTGTTGTTTTAGTCAAAGCTTGTCTTTTCCATTTTCTGCAGTATTTTGAGTCTTTGAGAAACGCGATTTTCCAGGCGGATTATACAGACTTGATATTTTATTCAAGTGCGTTTAATTCATAGGAGTTTTAGTACATGACGTCATTAAAAACATTCTAGAAATTCTTAAAAAATTTTTACTATTAAATTTTACTAAAATAGCTAACTATAGATTATTATAAAATAACTATAGTTGTTTTATTTTCTAAAATCTTCACATTGAAAAATATATATATATATTTTTTTTGTAGCCATCAGAGCCGTGGCTATATGGGCCACGACGATGGTGGACCAAGGGACCCCTATGGCGCATAATCAGGTTGTAAAATATCTCCGATGATTCACTAGTATGCTCTTTACATTTTGATGCAAGTTGTTTCGACAAATTTAACAAACAATTAAACCAAGCACTAGGGAAGAGTTATAAAAAATAAGAATATACTAATAAAATCTATAATTTGTAATTAACTTTCAAAATTTTGACAATTTAAAAAATATATTGTAAAACATTTATTTTTGTAAACAAATGATAATAGCTTAAAAGATTTACGGCTTTGCAGATGTAGCTCCGAGAATGAGCCATAATATTAAAGTAGTATTTCGTTTGATAATATATTCTTAAAAATAATTTATGCTAGATATCTCAAAACACAACAAATCGTGAATTCCTAAAACATTTCAACAGAATACTCTAGAACTTTATTTCGCTTAGTTAGCGTATTTTTTTAACCAATAAATTAGTTTGTTCGTAAATTTGGCGGGTTTTTAGTGTTCGCAAATATTATTTTTATTCTTCCGCTAGATGTTTTAAAAACATTCAAGTTATTTATGTTTCTATGGATGTCTGTAAAACAAATTATTCAAATAAATCTTGGTATTTTTGTTACGTACATAAACTTAAATGTTCTCAAAACAACTAAAAATATATTATATATATTTTTACTCATTTTGAGAATATTTAAGTTTATGTACGCCATTATATATATATATATTGGATGTTATAATAATGTAAATATAATCCAAGCCTGATATAGGTATAGATTTTTATTTTATGTTTTGTTTTTCTAGATGAGAATTTTGAGATATTGCATAACCGGCCGTACCTTCTTTCAATGGCTAACCGTGGTCCAAACACAAATGGATCGCAATTTTTTATGTATGTAAATCCAAAAACTAGACGTTTCTCATTAACTATTGGTTAATGAAACTCTTCTTTAAGTATTTTTTTTTAAATGACACTTCAGGTTTGTATGTCTTCAATTTGCTTTGTAAAGTGTTCGGTTTTACTATTTGCTTTTATATTTACTCTGCTGTATGCAGCCATCCTATGTTGTGGATCTCATCCCTCCTGTTTTTATATCTTTATTCATCTGTAGACTTTTGGCTCCTGCACCGCACTTGGACAAGTATGTACTTATAATTATATTTTATTGTTTTTATTTTTTTAATTCAATAATAAATTCTCTCTATTTATTAAAATCTGCATGCTGTTTTCTCTTAATATTCAGTTTTTTTAATAATTTTAATTTTCTAATGATTAGCTTGCACACTGTTTTTGGGCATGTGTTATCTGGCAACGAGTTGATTCGTGAAATTGAAAGTCAAAAAACAAACAATAACCACAAGCCTTACGCCGATATAACAATCTTCCACTGTGGTGAACTAATTAAAAAATCAAAAACCAGTTCCAAGTCAGTCAAGAAAGGTAAAATTTTCAGTATTTTTGTTTATAATAATATAATTCAGGTTTGTATGTCTTCAATTTGCTTTGTAAAGTGTTCGGTTTTACTATTTGCTTTTATATATACTCTGCTGTATGCAGCCATCCTATGTTGTGGATCTCATCCCTCCTGTTTTTATATCTTTATTCATCTGTAGACTTTTGGCTCTTGCACCGCACCGCAGTATTTTTGTTTATAATAATAAGGATTGGTCTTATGTTTTTGATATTGCTGAAGATGTAGAGCTATCCTAAAAACAATTAATTACTTTTTTCTAGAATAAAGTGTTATAAAAATAAAAGCATTAATGCCTCAAATGTTTAAGTTTACACCCCCTAGTCAGCCTTACTGTGATATTAAATTTACACAAAAGTTGTATTAATAGTTTAAAAAAAGTATATATAAGAAAAAAGTAGTGTGAACTGTAAAAGCACTTTATCTAAATATAATCTGCCTATATATAAAATGTTAAAAAAAAAGTGAACAATGAGTGAAACAGAACTAAGCTAGCACTAACATAGGTAAAATTTAAACAAGGGTATCCCTAAATAAAATATGTATCTTTTTATTTAGATGAAGTTTAAAACTTTTTCAAACTATCGCTTTTTGTTAAATAATGAAAGAGCATATAAAACATAATTGGATTTAAAAAATTTGCTTATAACTCAATTTGTTGCAATTAAACTAATTTCAATTTTAAAAGAGAATTGAAATGCAATAAAAATTAAAACAAAGTAAATGAAAATCTATTGTCATTAACTCTTCTGTTAATCAAGTTCAGTTCAAGTTGCAAATTAAGTGATTGCCAATTTCAAAAATCTGGAAATATTTCTGGTCTTCAAATTCTAAGTTTGTTAAAAACAGTAACATAAACGTAACAACTTTTATGAAATATTCAATTTATCATTTGCAAAAATTAATGAAAAAACAGAAAAATAAATTTACTTATGTATAAATAATACCAGTAAAAACTTTCATCTTTTTAATTGGTTGTTTTTTTATTTCCAAATTTTATTTCCAAATAATTTTTTTATTCAAATAATCTTTTATTAAATTATAAAAGAGATTTATTTTTAAATAACTTTTATTGTAGTTGATGAATTATTGGATATATCAAACATGCTTATTGAATTTATTCAATTTTTTATTATTCCAAAACAACATTTCATGCATTTGCAAAGTGCGCGCAAATTAATCATAATTAAAGGCTGTTTTCCAGAAGATAAAAAAATTGCATGAAGCAAATTTTATCGTCACGAAGAAAGCTGTTTTGTTTTTGTTTTCCACATTTTTCGCGCTACTATTTTTGTTACCAATAAAAAATCATTGCGTATAAGTAATGATTATTATATAAGTTTACACTGTGTGGAAAAATATATATATATAAATATAAAAAATAGTTTTTGATGTAAATCTGTATTGTATTTAGGGTATATATATATATATATATATATATATATATATATATATATATATATATATATATATATATATATATATATATATGAATAAATTACAACCCTCGGAATTAAAAAAAATGAGATCGTCAATAATTTGCCGACCTAAATCTATTAGAGGTCGGCAAATAAATCTTTGCCGACCTCTAAAAGAGGTCAAAGATTCAACCAAATAGGACTTATAAAGAAGAAATTTTCTTTTATGTTTACATTTAGAAACTAATTCATTCCTTTTATTTAATAAGTTATCATTGTTGTAAGATATTATGACATACTTTTATATAGACATAAGTTGCGTTGTTTTACTGTGGGATTGTAAGATCTACAACGTTTTACAATTTTACATTTAATTGTTGGGCTTATATATATGTATATATGTATGTGTATATATACACATACATATATACATATACATACATGAACTTTTACATCATTCTTAGCCATGGTCACTGTCACTAATTTTTACTAGAATATTCAACTATATAAAATACATTTAGTTATTAATATTTATTCTGAAAATTATATATAACAATTGTGTACTAGCTTTCATAACGCTCATTGGGGAGGGTGAGCATAGTTTGTATAGTTAATTTGTTATAGTTATTTATTATTTCAGCTTAAAAATTTTACATCTTATTAGAGTTTTTTGTTTCTTAGTTGTTCAAAGGCATACTTCGAGTAGTTCATCCAGTTCTTCAGGCAGTGAAGAAGAAAAGAAGAAAACGAAGTCTATTTCAGCAACTATCACTAGTGAGAAGTGAGATTTATTTCCCTTTTGATTTCATTATATATATATATATATATATATATATATATATATATATATATATATATATATATATATATATATATATATATATATATATATATATATATATATAAAGTTTTAAAAACTATAATCTGCATGAATGAGGATAACATGAAGACCTATCTTCTCAAGTATTGTGTTTGAGATTTAAAAAAACTAGGTTTATAAAAGCTTTTAGAGCATTGTGGAACAGTTACAGTAAAAGGATGCCACTATAGGTCCAACTACATTTACAATGTATTTTTGGATTATGTTAAAAATAAGAAGTAAGAAGAAAACAGGAATACCAATGAAATCACATTAAGCATCAGCTACCTTTCCTAAGTAAATAAACTCTGATAACATTTTTGACTGAAGTATAAGGTTCTTTCAAATAAAAATTAGGGGTAAAAAAGTAAAAGTAGTAAATAAAGTAGTAAAAGTAGGGGTAATATTATTAGGAATATAAATAGGAAACAACAGTGAAGATGATCCAGTGTGTTTATTGTTAAGGCAGGAAACAGTGAAGATGATCCAGTGTGTTTATTATTAAGGCAGGAAACAATGTAACAGCAGGTTTAAAATCTATCCCAACCTATTGGTAAAAAGTTCTAGAGTGCAAGTTCTACAAAGGAGTCCTACAAAAACATTTCTGCTTACCCCTAATGTTTTTGCCTAAAAGGTTTTCTACGAGGCAGTTAGCCAGATGTTAACAACTGTTAAAGACAAATATTTTTATCAATTCTCAAACATAAACTCATCTGAGAACTTTAAAGCTTATCTTAAGAAAGTTATCTTTTAAATTTCCTAAGTGCAAGCAAGTAGCTTTAACTATAGATCTAAAAATAAGTATAAGTTTTAACTAGGTCACACGCTTATATCTTGCATGCAAAGTTTATTTAAAACTCTTTGCTTTGAGAAAGTGATGTTTTAATTTTAAATTTGATGTATCTCAGTAGGTAAGGTTATTTTGGATCAGACTTGATTTATAAACTAATAAGTTGGATTTATGCAACTATGGTAATTGTTTTTATACTGCAAGGCAGGGTGGTAAAGATGGACTCGCCACATTGGTAGCGAAGTTGCTAAACAAAATCGTGACTCCAACTCTGATAGTAAAACTTCTCAGTATTGCACGTGCATGTTCAAAATATTTAACCTTTAAAGAATTTTTCATATTTGGCAAAAAAAAATTTAATGCATAATATTTTTTAAAGAATTCAATGAATTTTTTGCTTTAGAGTTAGTGTCATACTCTGAAAATTTCAATTATTAGGGTGGCAGTAGGTACTTTTTTTATGACTGTACACTCATGCTGCAAGGTATAGGATATTTGTTGATATATTAAAGAAATTTTTTATGGTCAATTATTATAAATTCAAGGTTCTTCACCTGCTACCTTCTTCACATCACTAATCTATTTTAGAGAGTTTTAAACCATGCTTCATAAAAATGAAAATATGTTTCGATTTATAAGAATATATATTATTCAACCCTTGGAATTTAGTGTCAACCATAAGGTGTTTAAGGTCAGCAACAAATTGCCAACCTCATTTATATGTTTTATGGTGAGGTCTTTCTGTCGATTTTTTTTTTTTTTTTTTTTTTTTTATTTTTGCTGACCTGATTGAGGTCAGCAAAATTTTGTCAACCTTGTTTTTCCTAGTTTCAAGGGTTAGTCGTTATAAACCCTTACATTTAAAAAAAAAAAAATTTTTCTCTTATTATTATTAAGTGCAAATTGTTGTAAGTGCGAAGCAGTTACGACAAAAACTGGCTTACGTGCTTAATGCCAATTTGCACTTATGCCAATATTTGCAATTTTATTCGGAGCACATATGCCATTTTACACTTATGAAATTCGCGCTTATTCAGCTTCCCATTTTTAACTAGATCACATACTAATTTTATATCCTGCATGCATACCAAGTTTATGTAAAACAAATGTACAGATAGATAAGTGATTGTACCATATTTTACGTATGTATATTTTACTCTAAACTATATATACTAATTAGTGTTGGAATTTACTTGAAGAGAAAAAATAAAGTTTGTAGAGCAAGATAAGAATTGACAGATGGCTTCAAAGATTGTAAATTATATGAATCAGAAAAGCAAGATGAAGGAAGCAAATTCCAAAGTACTGATATCAAGGAAAAAAACTAGAGGAATAAGAGTTTTTGGAACACTTAGGAACAGTAACAGAAAAAAGATGAGACTTAATTCAATGACATTATAGTATTTGTAGAAAAGAGAAAGAGAAGCAACATTACGACAATGTGATAATGGTTGAAGGTTGGCTGCAAGAGCAGGTCCAACTGTTTACAATGCGTTTTTGCACCCTATCTAAAAGAGAAAGGGCATTTAAAAATGACAAAACAAATTTATGCCTTTGTTAAAAATATTTTAAACTTGTTTATTTGACACTTTTAAAACCTTTTTCCCCTTTTTTTTTTTTTTTTTTCCATTTCCACAATTGGAATAACCCTTTCCCTCATTCCTGTCTTATCCAAAAATATAATGTATTTTATAAATTCTTATATAAAAAATTCAATTACAGTGATTAAGAATTAACATTTTAATCTATAATTATAGACCTAATAGTGCTAGTGAAGTTCGTGATCCAAAGGAGTTGGTTTTAAAAGAAAATGGACAAATGGATTTGAATTATGTTCCTGCTGTTCCAAATTCCTTTCTTTTGAGGCGAAGCAAAACACCTTCTCCTGTAAGAGAGCGCAGAGAGAAAGAAGGGTAAGATTAGTTAACATGCATTTTAAATTGTAAAGGGTATGCTTCTTTTTTCATTTCACTCTATTTCTATTATCTTCTATTATTAGACTCCATTCAAGACAAAATAATCTTCAGCTTCGTACTCGGATTAATATGGTTTGCTTTTTATTTATTTGTTTTTATTTCTATTTATTTTTTTTATTATTTATTTATTATTTTTTTTGATCTATTTTATTTGTTTGTAATTATATTTATGATGAAAGTTTTAATTGTTAGTAAGCAAAGTGCTCATAAGTTTGCAATTTAAATAACTTCTTTGTTTTAATTTATATTTTTGCCTTTTACATTGTATGTAGTTTACGTTATTTACGTTGTATGTAGTTTCTATGCAGTGAGAGTAATACAATTTTTAAATTTAGATTTATTTATAATACTCCCATTAAGTGGATAAGAATTTTATGTTTCAAAAAAAATTTATACTAGGAATTTTTTTAAAGGTTTCTAAATCTGGTAAAAAATTAAGAGGACGCGGTGTAATGGTAAGTAGAATTTCCTATTATGAATTTAATCTGCATTCTCATGTGTGTTTTTGCGTGTGTAAGAAATATTAATACATAAGAAACACTAATAAACAAGTTTATTAGTGTTTCTAGTGTATCTACATATGTATAGTATATATCTCTACTTTTTAGTTAATTACTGTTTATTTTATTTTATTTTTTATATTAAATAAGTTTCATTTTGACACTAAACTTATTTTATTTTTTTATTTTTTCTTAACAATTTTATATTTAGACTTTGGTCATAAATATGGTTCAATAAATTTAAAAGCATTTTATATTTTTTACTATAATAAAAATATAAAATGCATATACAAGGTTAACCTAACCATGTATATGTTGATATATACAGATATATGCAGAATTAGAATTAGGCAAGGAAATGATGTGTGCAATGTCCAACCTGTCCTTAAAAGTTGCTGCATTTCTTGAGATGAAATAAAAGTATGAATTATTATTGCCAGCATCTCTGATTAACTGTTGACATGAGTGCACAAATTTAATTTTTAATATACTTATTAATAAAGAAGAAAATATATATTTCTTTGATAGTTTGCACACCTTTATTTTTATTACCATGCAAGACTATATATATATATATATATATATATATATATATATATATATATATATATATATATATATATATATATATATATATATATATATATATATATATATATATATATATATATATAAAGTAAGATATCGGTTTTTAATAATCTTTCTACATATATTTAAATTTATAGAAAAAAAAATTAAGGTTCTGGTTTAATGTTTTCTCCCTAATTCTCCTTTCTTTCCTTTTTTTTCAAAAAATTGATGTTCGCGACCAAATCTCCTTAAATATTAGGAAAATATCTCCTTAAAATCCTTACCTTTAGCCTTAGCTTTAATAGTGGGAACCCTGATATATATATATAAATATATATATATATATATATATATATATATATATATATATATATATATATATATATATATATATATATATATATATATATATATATATAGCCAAATTTTGCAAAAATTAAGAGTTTTAATTTTCTGATTGAGATATTGCAGACTTATTATTACCATTTTATATACCCTTGTTTAAGTTCTAAAGTGTAATTTTTTGAATTATCTCAGCATTTTTTCTAGAGGTTGATACTGCAACGGCAAAAAGCTCTTTAAGGATCAGTAGTGACCTTTCAAGAACCTATAGCGTCGCACTTATACATTCAGAACTTAAAATATAATTAATAAAACTTTTTTGTCAACTGCTTAACCATGACTATCAGTTTAAGAAGTTGATCACTCACACCATGTAAAAAAATCTTTAGGAAGGTGGTTGTGAGTTATATCAAAAGCTTTGGCAATTCTGTTGATTACTTCTGCACTGTAACCACTGTTGATTACTTCTGCACTGTAACCAAAGTTTTTTCTGTGAAATTGTCACAGTCTTTGAGTAGGTTACTGACGCAACCTTGTTTGTAAACAAATCTATGTTGTGATTTGGAATAAGTCCATGTTTTGTGCAAAATGTTATGTAGAAATCCCTTTAAAACATTTATGGCACTGATGTGAGAGAGACATTAATAGAGAGTTTGTTTATTATCTTTTTTAAAGATTAGCATGACGTTCAAGCACTTCCAGTTATCAGGGAGAATACTGCATATGAAGGTGTGTTTATATCAATATGGGTAGGGCAGCAAATTTTCTTAATACTCAGGGTTTTATACAATCATATCCCATTGATTTTGTCCTGAATAGATTTGTTAATTTAGCTATTACTGCTGGTTGCATGATTAAGCTTTATTTTGTTTTGTTAACATATTTAAATTTTGCATAACTTACAAAATTTAGTAATGAATTTGCAGGTTTGACTGTAAAAACTAAAATAAGATATTTATTCCGAATATAGCCAATTATAATCAGTAATAGTTGCTGAGTGAATGAGATCATAAACTTATTGTTTACTACAGGTGTAATCTGTAGCAAACAGTAAGTTTATGTAATGTGTTCAGGATCAGATTTAGACGATTATGCTGTTTCATAAAAACAAAACATAACTGATTTGACTACTCATGTAAAAATGTAAACATGTAAACTACATGTTTACATTTTTCTTAGTGCTGCATTTCATTTCACTGAGTAGATATAGCTGCATTTATGTAGGTCATAGTTTGCATTTGGTTTTGACTGCTAGTGTGATTCAAATTTCTTTTTATATATTAAACAAAATGTTTGTAGTTATAATATTCTTTTTGACTTGTTAATGAACAATTCATATATCGTATTTACTGATTTACCTTCAAACATGCTTTGTCCAGCCTAATAATTCAATAAAACTAGATAACTTTGACAACTTGATCCCAAATTTGCTCTGCTCGAAATACGTTGCAACTTAAATGTTATTTCTCTGATTCTGGTAATAGTGAAAGATCCTGTTGAGAGGTAGTGAGATTGACCTTTTGGTGTTATCAATATATCTCAACAGGGTAAATATTTACAAATATATTGGGAGACAAAGGCTACAGAAGAAATTAAAAACATAAGAAAATAGCATAATAAATTGCAAAACTAATTTTCACATAAATAATGATAGCTTTAGTATTTTCTTTTAAGATTCTTTGCTACTGCTGGGAATTGTAATTAATGCATAATTATTTAGCAAAATATTAGAATATATTCTGCATAGTTTTTTTTTTTTTTTTTTTTTTTTTTTTTTTTTTTTTTTTTTTTTTTTTTTTGTGATTTTAAATTGATATTTAACTGCTATGAACTGAAACTAAGTAACACAAAATGTTCAGCATAAAGGTCCAGTAGCACCTTGAAAAATTAAAGGCAAATATTTATCATTGGACTACTTTTATCAGAAGTATTTATTATAGAAGTATTTATATAAAATATTTATCATTGGATACTTTTATCAGAAGGAATTTCAGGTTTGCCTCTATTAGGCTATTGAGATAATTTCCATATTTATTATATATAATTGGTAGTGCCATCATAAATTTTAATTTCACTTTTTTGCTATGTGCAAAAAAGTGAAATAAAAATTGAAGTGGAGAGGTTAAGGCTATCACTCTTGACATTTCTAATGCTTTTGATAAAGTTTGGCATGCTGGTCTTCTCCATAAACTTTCTTCTTACGGTGTATCTGGTAACATCTTTAAGATTGTTAAATCCTTCCTTTTCAATTGTAGTATAAAAGTTTTCCTCGATGGACAGCACTCTTCTTCATATTCTGCAATTTTGGTGGTTCCTCAAGGTTTAATCCTTGGCCCTATACTCTTTAATTTACATTAACGATCTTCCAGATATTCTTACATCTAAGTTGGCATTGTTTGCTGATGAGACTACCATTTATTCTTGTCATGATAAGTAATAAATCATGATAAGCCAATACTCTTTGATTGGTTGGGGGAGGGGGGTATTTGAGCTTGAAAAGGATCTCATTTTTGCTACAGCATAGGGCTTATAGTGGCTGGTGAACTTTAATTCAGATGAAACTCAGTTTTTTTTCAGCCAATCGTTATCGCAATAATTCAGATCTTTCTATATTTATCAACGGTAATGTACTCGATAAGTTATCTACCCTTAATTTTTAAAGATTAACTCTTACTTCCAATCTTTCTTGGAAACCGTATATCAAATCCATTGCAAAATCAGCTAAGTTTGATAAGGTTGCATCTCTTTATCAATTACATTGCAAATTATTAAAATCCATTGCAAAATAAGCTAAAAACCCTATCCCTAACTAATCGAATATCTTATGGTTAGTACGATGATATTATTATATTATAATGTTAACTTTTATGTCTTAAAGTTGGACTATCTAATTTATAAAGCAATCAAATTTGAAAGATTTATTAAAAAAGTGTGAGTGCAAACTTTGTTTCTTTTGTGTACAGTACCTGTGCAACTTAAACTACAGGAATTTAAAGTTATTCATTGGACTATTTCCACAACATCCTTAGGGGTTGTTTATAAAGTACATGCGATTTTTATTTGTCGATTCCTCTCCCTCGTATTTTGCAATACGCTTTTATGAGTACCCTCCACCTCCCTAAAAGTACCTACGCTTTTAACCTATTTATCTAACATTATACATTTTTTTTAATTTAGTGTCTCCTTTCTTTTATAATTGACCCACTGCCCTCCCATCTCATATACACCATTTGTAGACATACACTAGTGCTTAAAAATTTAGCTCGCAGCAGAATTAAATTTAGTTTTTATCATATGTTAATTTTTGAGTTAGAAAGCTTTAAAAAAAAGTTTTCTATTTATCAATTAACAAGACATAAATAAGACAGAAAATTTAAATCGTAAAAACAAATTACTTATAGTCGCTTATTGTACCTATACTACAAGGTATAGGTGGTGCAGTTGGTATTTGGGGCTGCATCACATGATGGCCCAGCTCTACACACATACAGTGGTCGAATGGACCAACATAGATACATGGACATCCTTGAAAACTATTTAATGCCTACCAAGGACATTTATTTTGGTAGCAAGCAAGAGCAAAACAATATCAAGGAACTTCATTGGCCAGCTAGATCACCTGATCTGAATCCAATTGAAAATATTTAGGCTGTGTTAGACCAATAACTTACCAAAGAACCAGTAACAGCTGAAAATTTAAAAAAGTCGTTTAATGACTTGACAGTTGAATATTTTCATAAACTTTTTAACTCTATAAGAATATGTTCATTATGCATAAAAAATAAAGAGGTGGTCATTCCTTATTAAGGTTCGACCTAAAAACAATTTCAAACCCATGTTTGCTAAACTTATGAGCAGCTTTTTTTTTCTTATTTTAAGTATGATTAATTTCTTCAAAAGAAACTTAATATATATTTTTCATCGTTTTTATATAATTTTCAACTTAATATGTTCTAAATACCCTTAAAAAATATTTTTGTTTGAAATAACTAAAAAAATTTAGCTTTTTTTCTGTTTTTTATGTTCTAAAGAAAAATAATTTTATTGATTCTGCTGCATGCTAAACTTTCGAGCACTATTGTCTTTAACACGAAACAAAATACATTGAAATGTACAATATTGTCTTTGTTGTTGTTTTAAAATATTGTTTTCGTTGTTTTAAAATGAAAAATACATGTGGCAAACACAATAGCACATACACACAATTCAGCAGGTTTTAGAGATTACCAAGATGTAAAACCTAATACCGAATGGCTACTGGTCATGGAAATCATGGAAATTGTGTAAGTCATTGAATTTTATTTGGTCATGGAAAAAGTCATGGAATTCTTAAATTTTCATTGAAAGTCATGAAAAATTCATGGAACTTTTTAAAATGATCTTTGTTTGTTTTTAAAATGATGTTTGTTTGTTGTTTTTAAAATGATCTTTGTTTTTCTGCTTGTGACACTTTTAAGATGCAAAGAAAAGTATTAGTATGTCTAGTCTTAGTCCTTTTTGAAAAAGATATTTTTGCAGTGTATGTTATCAGAAAAGTAAAAGAAAAGTTTTTTTTAGACTTGATTTCAGAACCTTCTACCAAATGCTTAGTGCATGGCAAGTACTGAATATTTTACTGATTAGTGGTTTATAATAAAAGTTTATGAAGAGTCATGCAAAAGTTATGGAATTTCGTTCTCAAATTTGAGTGGCCACCCTGTGATAGTCAATTTTCTTACCTTTTCTTATAATAACCTAAATGCAACGCTTAGGCATAAATGAAATGAGTGTTTCAAGCAGAGATTGGGGGATTTTAATCTTTTTCATCTGGAGTGCCTTTTTCAGTTCCGTAACGTTACTGTATTGTTTTCCATTTGCATACACGTGACGAGACAAGTAACCCCCAATGTTTTCACTTGGATTCCATTCGGGTGACAGCGCTGGATGTCATGTTCTGTTGCAAATTCCATCACAGTCTTTGCTGTATGTATCGATGTGTTATCTTGCATTAAGACAAATATGTCTATAGTAGGGTGTCCCAAAAAACAACTTTTTTAAAAATAATCTGCTCTCGCCCCCTAAATGTGTTTTATCTAATACAATAACACTAAGTTTAAATTTTTTTTCAATAAAAAAATAATTTAAAGGGTCCCTCAAGACCCTCGAATTTTTAATGGGTCCCTAATATTTTCAAAAAAAAAGTTTTTAAAAATTGTGTCAACCTGGTACTCAAATGAAGCGAAATTATATAAAAATTTCAAAAATAATGTTTATTTCGGAAAAAACGATACGTAACGATATTTCCCTTAAAATATACAATATTTGCTAAAACAAAAAACAATATTCTGTAAAAAAAATCGCCGATTCCGTTAAAAAAAAAAAGATCCTCAATTTTCAATTTGAGTGGCGCCCAAATACAGTCGGCGCTGCTGAAAATGGTCTAGAATAGCCCCTATAATATATATATATATATATATATATATATATATATATATATATATATATATATATATATATATATATATACAGGGGTTATTCTAGACCATTTTCATCAGCGCCGCCCAAATTGAAAATTGAGGATCTTTTTTCTTTTAACGAAATCAGCGATTTTTTTACAGAAAATTGTTTTCTGTTTTGGCAAATAAGTACCAGGTTAACATAATTTTTAAAAACTTTTTTTTTTGAAAATATTAGGGACCCATTAAATATTCGAGGGTCTTGAGGGACCATTTTTAATTATTTTTTATTGAAAAAAAAATTAAACTTAGTGTTTTTGTATTAGATATAACACATTTAGGGGGTGAGAGCAGATTATTTTTAAAAAAGTTGTTTTTTGGGACACCCTAGTCTATAGTTGGCATATATATGGCATTAATAATCAGAGTGTAATAATATAGTTTTCAGCTGCTTGTTTTTTTTCTAAGAACTTCAACTCAGATATATGGTCTACTATGTTTTGACGCGGGAAAAAATTTGGCGCCAAAAACGATATATTTTTTATTACTTCTCTGATTATGACTTTTTTTTTAGATATTTTAATGTTTAAAACAGCGTAAAATGAATAAAATATATTACATTTATAGTGTGTGCTATTTGTTCGGAACAGACTGTATTTAGATTTAAAAAATTAATGACTTTGTAATTGCTTACAATTAACAAATAAACAACCTAATAAGATATTTTTGGACTTAGGAATCCACACTCTTCATTTCTGGATTTGTTGTTTTGAATGTCTGTTGCATATGGGACAGAGAATAAGACTAGGATACAATGATTTTTTCATGCCAACACTTTTCTTTTCTACTTGCAACTTTATTTTCATGCCAAAAATAAAGTTGTAAGTTGAAAAAAAGAAATTCCCGAAAAAAATTAAAGATATGTTCAGATTTGATCTACCAAAAAGTGATGGCTCTGGTACTTTTATTGATGGAAACATAGAGAGAAGGGCATGTAGAAGCCATGAAATTTGCTCTGCTCATTAATTATCAATTCTTTTTATATCAGAAATTCATGCTTAGTCAAAATTACATTTTGACAAACAATATCATAGACTTGTTTAATGACTCCTGGTGTTGTTGCAATTTTTGGACGTCCGCTACATGGTTCATCTTCAATCGTACGACTACGTTTAAACTCTAAAACCCATTAATGTTTTAGATATAGGAGTAAGAGTGTGTGCGTGTGTGTGGGCACACACATGTATCGTGCAGTGATAAAACTCTTTATTTTAGAAGGTTTATCTGCAACAGAAGTTCATTAAAAAAATTGTGAAAGTATATATATATATATATATATATATATATATATATATATATATATATATATATATATATATATATATATATATATATATATATATATATATATATATACATATATATATATATATATATACATACATACATACATACATACATACATACATATATACATACATAAAGCTTCTTCCTGGTAAACCTGTTAAAGGAGAAACAGACTGTAAAAGAAATTTATATGTATTTATACTAAATTATGTATATATACACGCCTATAGTATTACTTGTGGGGATAAGTTTACAAATAAAGTAAACTTACGGAAACAAATTGATAATTTGAAACATTTTTGTGTAAGGAATAAATATTCCTTTAATAATTTGTTTTTGTAAATAAAAGAAATATAATATATTATAATTACATAAAAATAACGAAAATAGTTTTTAAAAAAAATGTTTTTGTAACTAAGTATAATAGTTCAGCCTGCAGGCTCTCGTCCTGCTGGCATATACGTTCTTCCGAAAATGCATAGTGTGTGTATGTATGTATGTAAATATAGATTCCTATATTAAAAAAACCTGGTTTAAAACAGATAAATAAACCATGGTTTAAAAGTAATAAAAACGTGATTGGTTTTATCTACTTTTTAGAATGGTCACACCCAATGATCTTTGATTACTTGCTAAGTCCCATATATCCCATTAATTTTTATTTAAAACCATAGCTAAATATCTGAAATTTCTATATGGTACTGATTCTTTTAATAACTAGGTTAATATACTTTCAGAGAAGTTTCAGTGATGCCTAGTGCGTAATTAAGCGTCGTAAAGGGGATGACCTTTCTCAAAAAGTAGCTAAAACCAACGACATGTTAGCTACTTTTAAACCAAAGTTTTTTTATACAGGGAATTAAGCATACTAAAGTTTTGATTCCTATTTTTTCTAATTTCATAATATGTATTTTTTCTATTAGCGTTATCGAACACCAACACCTTCTTCAGAAAGTTCGGATGCTGACGATCCAAAAAAGAGTTCTCGTATAAATGATAAGCACAATAGAAAAGGTTCATCCTCCCCACAAAAAGATAAAAGAGAAACACCTGCTAGAAATAAGTCTCGTAGCCCTGATCATATTAGAAAAAAGACTCTTACTTCCAAAAGTTCAGAAATGAAAAGGTCAAGAAGCCCTGACGCGAAGACCAAGAATGCGGAAATTAAATCAATCAGTCCTAGCAAAAAACATTCACCTAGTCCTGCGAGAACTCGATCACCTACTCGAAAAAGATCAAGTCCATCAAGAAAATCATCTCGCAGCCCTCGTAGGCGTTCTACAAGTCCAAGAAGAAGGCGTTCACCGATTCGCGAACGTAGATCGCCTAGAAGACGTTCGTCGTCTCGTAGTCGAAGACGTTTTTCATCACGTGAAAGAAGACCTTCGCGTTCTCCGCGTCGGCGTCCGCGTTCAAGATCGCGTAATAGATATCGCTATAGGCGTTCTAGAAGTAACTCGAGAAGATCTCGCTCCCGTGATCACAGGCGTGATAGTTCTCGTGATAGGCGAAGTAAATTTGAAAGGCACCGTTCAAAAAGTGGTAGTGGGTCTGATTCTTCAGTTGAACGTAAAAAAAAGCAAGAAAAGGATATTGATAATAAAAAGCAGACTGTTAAAGAAAAAATAGATCTTTTACTTCAAAAAAAAGCTAACGAAGAAAAAAATGTCGACATAGCCAATAATAGTGTAAACTCAGAAAAGATGAATCCTGTTGAATTCGACCAAATAAAACAAACTCCAGATGTTGTTAATCCTGTTGTAACAAAAGAAAACGATCATGATGATTTAATTATGAATGAACCTATGGATTTAGCAGATAGTCCGGTTCATATTGAATGCATTGATCAAATTCCTTTACCATCTTCTCCTCCACCATTGTCATCGTATCCTGTAGTTACATATCCGGCTGCAAAAGACAATATCTCATCTGGAGAATGTTTTTCAGATAAAATTAATGAAGCCGAAACTTTATCCAAAAATAAATGTTCAGCTGGTGAGCTTAATGACAGTGCTGACATTATGGAGAATAATAATCATAAACATGGCAGTGACTTTATTGCTACACCGATCAAAGACGATAAATTGGCGCGCCATTTTGAAGAAATGAAGTCTAATGTTAAAGATGTAGATTATCAAGTTGATAATTTTCAAACCACCATCTCAGTAAAAATAGACGATACAGTTTCTCATACAAGTTCTCATGCAAGTCATGAAAGTGATGACAACGATATATACGCAGACTTAATCCTTCCATCCGAAAAGCTTGAGTCGTCTCCGGAAAAGCAAATCAAAACTCTGCCAGTCAAGTCCAAAAATGATTCTAAGGATTGTACGCCTGTTAAGAGTAAAAGTAAGATTTCGACGAAAAAGCGTAAATCAAGCAGCGACAGTGGCACAGATGATGACCACAAGAAAGAACTTAAGCGTAAAGAGAAGAAAAAGAAATATCGACGGGGACACAAGAATAGTGACAGTGATAGTGAATCAAAGGAAATTCAAAGCGACTTAAGCGAAAGTGACAGTGGTAGTGTTGAAAGGAGTCGACATCATAAAAAGAAAACACGACGTGATTCAGATTTTTCAGCTGACGAATCTAAGATTAAAAAGAAGGATAGAAAAAAAAGAAAGATAAAGAAAAAAAGTTCAGACGATAGTGACACGGAAAACGAAATAAAAAGTTCTCGTAAAAAAAAAAGTTCCAGGAAGAGAACTTTTTCTCCAGAAGAAAGAGACAAAAAGCAACTAAAGAAAAAAAAGTCAAAAAAGCCGGCTGCTGATACGGATTAAGCATCTCTTGGTTTATTTAGTAACACACGGGGCTGGATTTAACCGCATTGGCATTTAACGAAATTAATGATAACGATAAAAAACATTGAGGCTCACGTTTGATAAATGTTACTTTTATAGTATTTGATTTTTAAAAATTGAGTTTTAAGCAATAGTTTTGAGCTCTAAACGAATAGATATGATTTATAATATTTTGGAAATGTTAAAAACTGGCTATTTTTGCATACGGTTGGTTATTATTGTCGAATTTCCTCTGGTTGGTAATTCTAATTTTCATTTGAATGTAGAAGAAAAAAGTAATGTAATGCTATACTAAAAAATTAAAATTGCTAACAATTGATGATTTGATAAAAAAAAAAAAAAAAGATATGCATTTTTTTTAATTTTAAGGTGTTAATTGTTTACAATGACTTCAGTAAATAAGGAACTGGTTTATAAACTATAACTTTCTTTAATATATTCAAACTCCTAATATTTTTGTGCATAATAGAAGTGTGTTGTGATATAATTTTTTTTCAAAACTTTGTAGCAAGTTAAAAAGTATGGCATTATAGAAATGTGTCTTGAATTTTGTCAGGTTTTTACCAATTTCCGTCAAATTTACGGCTCATTGAAGCAATTATTGTTAAAAGGGTTAACGACAATTAAAATCTACTTAAATTTCCATCAAAACCTTTAAAAATTATCAAACAGATAAATTCTTTTCAAAGAAAAAAATTCAGTTTCGATTAACTTAATTTTGGAAAGGTGTAAGTTTTTAACAATTTAGCGCAATTCCTTATAATTCACAAATAGAATTGCAAATCTAATGAACTTTTAGTAGCAATATTTACATTATTTTGCTTTAATTTTTAAATAACTTGTTTGTATTTCTTCAATTTGAGCTTTATATTTGTTGTGTTGTTTTGGAGATTCTTGTTTTTAAGTTCTTTACAAAACTGTTACACAGATGCAGCTAGGAAGAGTATTTTTAAAAAATTAATGTTAATTTTTGTTATTATGCTCTTGATATTATTGGCATTTACGACATCAAACGACAAGTAATTCCAATATTAACAATTCTGAAAATTCTTTACAAATCTCTTATTCGTTTCTGTATGAAATACTGTTGTCATATTAAGGCTGGTTCATCCAATAATGCTTTTTCTCTTCTAGACCAAAAACGCATTGTACACGTAATTAGATCCGCTCTATCTGCCAAGTTTGAGCCTCTCTCGTTGTATAATAAAGTTGCATCTCTTTCTGCAAATACTTTCATGGTCGCTGCTCAAAGGAGCTGTCATCTCTAGTTACATCGACTAGAACTCATTCTTGTTTGACTCGTCATTCAGCAAAGTCTTTTTCTGTATCTTTGCATGTTCTAAAAACATTTTTTTCTTCTAGTTTTTTTCCCCGCACTTCAACCTTTTGGAACTCTCTCCCATCTTCATTTTTTCCTGACTCACAACTTTTCAAGTCTTCTGTCAACAGTTTCCTTGCTTTAACTGGTTTTTTTTCTAGTAACTTCTATCTTAATCCAGAGAGCAATATTCTAAATTAGGTCTTCTCTAAGTAATAAAGGCTGTTGCAAGAGCATGTGGATCACGACTTTTAAAACACTTAAGTATTAAATATGCTCGGATGTTTGCTAAACGAGCACCATTTGAATTATGATTTTTGTAAATTAGAAGAGTCCATAGTGATTTTTGTAAGTTAGAAAAGAGTCTATAGTGTACTTTGAATGAAATGTTCTTTTGTTTATACAAACATGCATTTAAATACTATAGCGCTTGAAACCAATAAAATATCGACTAATATTGAAAGATTTTCAATATTAGTCGATATATTACACGCCTATTATATATTTTTGCAAAACCATTAAATATAAACTTTATATGGCGTAGTTTTGTGGAAAACAACAACTGAGAACAAAGTTATTAATAGTTATACACTGCGACCATTTTCTATAGACGCGTGTAGAATTTAGCGGATTTACAGTGTTACAGCGGTAATAAAATTGTTCTAACGTACTTTTAAATAAGTATACATAAGAAAACGATGATCCATTATGCATCTGATTATTAATTGTTTTGATTGTATTAAAATATTTGAATTTTTAATATTCACGTGGCAATTTTCTATAGACGCACTAAAGTTTTTTACGAGTTTTTTCGCAAATTTCTTATATTCTGTTGTATTTTTTATTTTGTGAGTCGAAATTAAGTTGAACTAAACCAAATGCCGAAAGGAAAGGTCCTTACCGATATTGAAAAAGGTCAAATATTGGCTTTTCATCGAGAAAAAATTTCAAATCGAGAAATTGCTAGAAGATTGAAGAGATCAGATCACGTTATCCGTAATTTCATGAAAAATCCAGCAGATTATGCAACAATCAAGAGGAAACCAAAGAAATCTAAGGTTTCAAGTCGTGAAAAACGCAGAATTGTTTAACTCGCATTAAATTCATCAAAAAGTTTGAAAACAATTAAGTCAAATTTGGGTTTAAATGTTTGCAAGGAGACGATTAGGAAAGTTCTTATAGACAGCCCACACGTTGTACGATCGAAAATGAATATAGCACCAAGTTTGAAGCCCGTTCACAAACAGAAACGGATGGAATTCGCCCGCGGAAACATGGCACGCGATTGGGAACAAGTAAGAAATTTTAGATTAAATTCTCGTGAATACGTAAGATGTCTAAATAGCTGAATATTTTTGTTTTCAATACCAGTTGATTTTTTCGGACGAGAAAAAGTTTAATCTTGATGGGCCTGATGGTTTTAGTGGCTACTGGCGTGATTTGAGGAGAGAACCTAAATATTTTTCAACAAGGAATTTCGGTGGTGGATCTTTGATGGTTTGGCTTGGGTTTTGTGCAACAGGAAAGTTAAATTTAGTATTTACATCTTGCAAAATGAAAAGTTCTAAATACATTGATGTGCTAAAATCATGTTTGATTCCATTTAAAAACAAATATCGACGCAAAAAGTTTGTTTTCCAACAAGACAACGCCAGCACTCGCACTAGTAACGAGACTAAAGCTTGGTTTGAAGCTAAAAAAATCGAGCAAATGTGGTGGCCTGCTCGCAGTCCAGATTCGAATCCTGTTGAAAATATCTGGGGAATCATTGTAAGACGTATATATGCTGACCAAAAGCAATATAACTCTGTGGCAGAGCTAAAAGTAGCGGTATCAGAATGCTGGGAGGATATGGAGCCAAAAGTGCTGGAAAACTTGGTGGGAAGTATGCCAAAACGAATTTATCAAGTAATTGAGCGCAAAGGAAGTCCAATCGAGTACTAAAAATGTGATAAAAACATTTTTTTAAAATAGTTTAGTTAAATAATGTGAACTGCGTCTATAGAAAATAGTCAGCTATCTTTTGAATTTAATTCATTTATGATTGACCTCTTTTCAAATTTGATATTATTTTTTGATAATTGTCATTATTTTTTGATACTTTATTTATAATTTATTGAAATACACTATAAAAATAAAGTTAAGTACATTTTTAAGACATAATCCACATGCGTCTATAGAAAATGGTCGCAGTGTATGTGGGGAAGGTCACTATCAAAGTAATCAAAATCGAGAAAAAAATCGAAGTTTCGATAATGTTTTGTTACAAAATAAAAAATTAAACTTTGAAGTTGATAACTAAACACTGTTCTTGTATTTTGTATTTATTTTGTATTATAAATTTAAATTTATAATTCATTATAAGTTTTCAAAAAAAATTTATATTTTATTATTTCTTAGTACTTTTTTTTTATCACAATTCTTTCACGCAGAGGTTTTAATAAATTCTGTGGACGTTTAAGATAAAGGAATATGTTCACTTTACATACATATTTAGCCGGGTTTTTTTTTTCAAAACACATATTAACAAAAAATATGTATGTAAAAATTAAAACTACACTTTAGAACATAGAAATAATTTTGAGCTCAAAAAATAATTTTTATATATATGTATAAATATAATATAAATAATTTTATATATATGTATAAATCATTGATGTAAATTAAAAACAATAACAGTCCTAAGATTGAGCCTTGAGAGACCCCACACTCAATATCAAGAATACTTGACTCTTTGTTAATTACAAACTGCTTTCTGTTACTCAGATAGTTTTTTACCCATTTATACATTATTTATACATTAGTCCTTTGATACCATAATGTTTTAATTTTGATAGTAAGATGTTGTGGTCAATTGTATCAAATGCCTTTGAAAGGTCTCTAAATACTCCCAGTACATGATCCCCTTTATCAAAAAACAGAAACATTTTATTTGTATGTTCAATGATAGCATGCTCTGTTGAGCAACTTTTTTGAAAACCTAATTGATTTTCATATAAAAATTTGTTTAACTTCAAGTAATATAAGTTCGATTGAAGATTACTTTTTCATAAACTTTAGAGAACACTGGTAGGAAGGAAATTGGACGGTAGCTAGACATATTATTAAAATCTCCATTTTTATAAATCGAACTGTTGGATTGTTTGCAAAATTTTCTTTGTGGTTCTTTAATATTATAAAGCAGTTAGATGATGTCTTGATATCGACTTTAGTAAAAATGTCATGATTCTGTAAAATGCGTTTACCCTCTTTATTTATATCATTTTTTACTTTTCCGATTTTTTGTAAGTTTTTTTTTTTTTTTTTTTTTTTTTTTTTTATACCATATAAATTTATTCAAGTCGTAAAACATAACATATATACAAATAGCAGGGGGAAAAAGAAGACATAATTTGTCTTATCACCAAGCCCCTTAATCTATACCGTAAATATAAAATAGCGTAATAAATTAAAAAAAAACGTAACACAGTATAATATAAAACACTTTCTTAAGATTTTATAAATAAAAATAATAGTTCTTAATGTTGTTTAACTTTAACTTTTTAGTTTTGTATTGGTTATGAAAAATTTAAATACAAATTTAAAACTCAATTATTAAAAAGCATGCAGGCAAATACGCATAATCCTGAAGCTTTCCTTTTACACCAGCAGATGTCTTAAATTATCTGGAGAATTTTTATAAATCATAAGTTTTTATAAAAGAAGAAATGAATCAGTAACAAGCGACACGATCCTTTCTAAGATTGTCAAGCTGATAATGACAAACCTCTAATTACATATTAGTACCAATTATTAATGCTTTAGAAAAAGCTGAGCGCTGCGTCGTTCATCAATAGTTTTTGCTTCAATTTGTTTTTAAACTCATTAAGCGTTGCAATTGATTTA